TAATGAAGCCTAAGCTGCCAATCATGGCCAGTACAACATGCCAAGTCAGAAAGTCGCCCAAGTGAGTGACTCCACATGCTGGGTGAACCCATTAAACTATGGTTTATTCAGGAAATTTGCTGGGCCAAAGGAGGGCTGGCTAGGTCTGCGATCTCCCTCCCTCCTTGCCATCCTGGAAGGCCAAAGGATGCCTTTTAGCCAGGCTGGGTTTTACTTTCGAGAAAGGAGACAGGAGAAAGATGGAGAAATCACACCTCACAATTCAGCAAAATGTCTGGCTACAAGAGTGCAGCTACTCCTCGACTTACAACAATTCATTTAGTGACCTTCGAAGTTGAAACAGCACTGAAAAAAAGTGACTTATGACTGTTTTTCACACTTCTGACCATTGCAGTGTCCCCACGGTCCCCTGATCCAAATTCAAAGGCTTGGCCACTGGTTCATATTTAGGACATTTTGCTTCTCAGGGTCACATTATCCATTTTTGTGACCTACTGACAAGCCAGGTTCACTTAACGAAGCCAGGTTACTAACTTACCAATTGCGGTGATTCACTTAACAATGGAGGCAAGGAAGGTTGTAAAATGGGGCAAAACTCACCTGACAGGTGTCTCGTTTCGCAACCTACGTGTTGAGTTCCATGGTGGTTGTATGTCCAGGAATATCTGCACAGACCTCCGACCATTTCAGAGCCAGCTGAAGGGTGGGAGGAGGTTGCAAGTTGTAACTGGGACTTGGAAGCATCCAATAAGTCCGTGATGGCGACCCTATGGCACGTGTGGCACACAGAGGTGGCACACAGAGCCATTTATGCGGGCATGCAAGCCCCAGCCAAACTTACCTGCAGTGCGCAGCTGATTTTCAGTCCGTTTGAGGCCTTTTTCGCCCTCCCGGAGGCTCGAGGGAAGCCGCTGCAGCCTCGGGAGGCCGAAAAACAGGCCCGTTTTTTGGCCTTCAAAGGCTGCAGAGGCTTCCTTCCAGACTCCCGGAGAGCAAAAAAGGCCTCAAGCGGGCTGTAAATCAGCTGGGAGCAGGGGTGGCATTCGTTTTTTTTAACAACCAGTTATGTGGTGGGTGTGGCTTGGTGGTCATGTGACTAGGTGGACATGGCTTGGTGGTCATGTGACTGGCTGGGCGTGGCCAACTCAACATCACTCACATCGAGGCACGCATCTCCTCGCCTGGCCTCCCATGACTGTGGGGATGCTGCAACAGTCGTAAGTGTGAAAAATGGTCATAAGTCACTTTTCTCAGTGCCATTGTAACTTTGAATGGTCACTCCACACAAGCAAAGTACCAGCAAAGGAGGGGGAAAAACCTCCAGAGACAGGAAGTCTAGTCCTGCCAAGAATGTAATAAGAGTTAATGGAGAGGCAGTTTCTGTAAGCAACACCAGAATGTTTCCTTCCTGCCTTCCTTACAGGATTAGGCCAGTAATTTCTTCTAACAACGGGTTCTCCGAACTGCTTAGAATGTTAACAACCGGTTCTAGCGAATAGGTGCGAACTGGTAGAATCCCACTCCTGGCTGGGAGCCACGCACATGCACACTGCAGGTAAGGGTGTGGGGGGGATGTTGTGCACGCATGTGCGGGGGGGCAAGGCGCATTGCATTGTGAGTCCCGGCGCGCGCCCTTTTGGTACACCACAACAAAAAGATTCGCCATCACTGCAATAAGTCAACATAGTAGCTGCCATTGCTTTGTGTGTGTGGTTGTGTGATGCCATCATGCAACCACACATACACAAAGGAAGAACTTCAGTTTCATTTTAATTTTTAAATAAGTGTTATTGAATAAACCTTAAAAACAATTGAAGACAGTGCGACTTTCTTGGCCATCATTATGGCCATACAAGCTATAGTATAGAGATACATATAACAGTTAATTTCCTTTTTCCCTTGTGTGGTTAGTATAGTGCTAGCTGCATATTATTTCTATTTACATTTATCTACAATTATATACATATTTTCAACTGTCCTTTATACTCATGCATCCGTATCATCTCATATTTGTCCATTATATTCCATTCTCTTTGGTTTACAAAACTTTTTTAAACTTTCATTCCTATAAAGCGTCAACCCTTTCTTTCTTTTTCCTTGACTCTAGCCATTGATACATTTTACTCCAGACTTCACAATACTCTTATCTTTGATTTCTAAAGTTAGTCTGTCCATCTCTGCACAGACTAATATTTTCCTTATTATTTCACTTTCCGTAGGGGTATCTTCATTCTTCCAGTTTTGGGCATACACCAATCTCGCAGCTGTTATTATACGTATCATTAAATATATTGTTCCTTTACTGTATTTCTCATTAATAATTCCCAGTAAGAATGTTTCTGGTCTGAGCTCCACTTTCTGGTTAATTATCTCTTCTATCCAAACCTTTATTTTCCACCAGTAATTTTTTTGCTTTTATACATTTCCACCACATATGATAATAGGTCCCTATCTCTAGGTTACATTTCTAACAAATGTGGTGATATACTTTTACTAATTTTGGCCAATCTAGTTGAAGGAAGATGCCGTCTGTAAAACAGTTTATATAGTGGAGCTTCGGTTTTGACTCTTGCCATGAATGCTCCTATTTGGAGGGGTTAGCAGGTGGTCCTCCCACATTCACCTCCTGCCCCCCAGAGCATAGTGTTGTGTAGATATCAGACTGCGAGAAGCGGGGCTCCAATTAGTTAGGGAATTCGTCTGATGTTCAGATGCATGTTATTCACATCCCAAAGTCAGGTTACCTGATTTCATACATTCCACAAAGCCATGGTTATTCCGTCCTTATTTCCTGATAGCAGGACTTGGCAACTTTTAAGACTCCAAACTTGGCAACTTTTAAGACTTGTGGATTTCAACTCCCAGAATTCCCCAGATAGCATGGCTGGTTGAGGAATTCTGGGAGTTGAAGTCCACAAATCTTAAAAGTTGCAGAGTTTGGAGACCTCTACCTGATAGCAAACCCCAGTTTGTCTTAGCCAAAGGCTAAGGAGGGAACACAAACCAACTGTGTTATTAAGCCAGAAAGCACAAGGACAACTTGAGAAGAAGGTGCCCAACTCAGTCTATGGATGCAGAAAGAAAGGCAGAAGATGACAGAGAACAAAGCCAACATCAGTGTCCACTTCCACCTCTGACCATGAAATTATTCAACCACAGAATGTTTGTGAAACCACGGTGGCGGAATTTGCAGATCAGGGCAGGCAAAGGTGATGAACTTCCAAGCCAAACCTTCTTAAAGCAGAAGATGGCTTAATGCATGTGTGAATCCCAATGGCCCCTGTATGAGGATGATACATTTATTGTTGTCTTGTCAACATACGATGAACAGTTGCAGTAACCGGGCCTGGCTAGTCTAGGGAAGAGAAAGACCAGGGGAGACAGGAGAGCATCTTCCAATATTTGAGGGGCTGCCACAGAGAGGAGGAGGGGGTCAAGCTATTCTTCAAGGCACCCTAAGGCCAGACAAGGAATGGATGGAAACTGAACAAGGAGAGATTCAACCTGGAAATAAGGAGAAACTTTCTGACAGTGAGAACAATCAACCCATGGAACAGAAGTTGCCTTCAGAAGTTGTGGGAGCTTCATCCCTGGAGGCTTTCAAGAAGAGGCTGGAACTGGACTGCCCTCAGTCAGAAATGATGTAGGGACTCCTGCTTGGGCGGAGGGTTGGACTAGATGACCTACAAGGTCCCTTCCAAACTCCTTCCAACAACCTGCAAGATAATTTAGTGCCATTATGAGATATTAGCTTCCTTCCTTCCCATCGGGTAACCTAATTAAGGGGCGTGTGTGACTGCAGGCCCTGTGCAGCCTCCATTCTCTTCCCTAGGCAGCATCACAACAACACTCCCATATAGGTTTGGAGACTTTGGGAAAAGTGCCGAGAAAAGCAACTAAGATGATCAAAGGCCTGGAGACTAAAACATGTGAAGAACAGTTGCAGGAACTGGGTATGGTCAGTCTAGAGCAGGGGTGTCCAACCTTGACAACTTTAAGACTTGTGGACTTCAACTCCCAGAATTCCTCAGCCAGCAAGTCTTAAAGTTGCCAAGGTTGGACACCCCTGGTCTAGAGAAAAGAAGGACTGGGGGGGACATGATAGCAGGATTCCAGCATTTGAGGGGCTGCCACAAAGAAGAGGGGGGTCAACTTATTCTCCAGAGCCCCTGAAGGCAGGACAAGAAGCAAAGGATGCAAACTAACCAAGGAGAGAAGCAACCTGGATTTAAGGAGAAACTTTCTAACAGGAGCACAATTAACCAGGGGAACAGCTGGCCACCAGAAATCCTGGGTGCTCCGTCACTGGAGGTTTTTAAGAAGAGACTGGACAGTCTGAGAGCAGTGCTCCTGCTTGACCAGGGGGCTGGACTAGAAGACCTCCAAGGTCCCTTCCAGCTCTATTCTGATTATTGCTTGACCAGGGGGCTGGACTAGAAGACCTCCAAGGTCCCCTCCAGTTCTATTCTGATTATTACTTGACCAGGGGGCTGGACTAGAAGACCTCCAAGGTCCTTTCCAGCTCTATTCTGATTATTACTATATTAAGGAGAAACTTCCTAACAGTGGGGACAATTAAGCAGGGGAACCACTTGCCGTCAGAGGTTTTGGTGCTTCGTCCCTGGAGGCTTTTAAAAAGAGACTGGACAGCCATTGCCTGAAATGGGGTAGGGTCGCCTACTTGAGCAGGGGGGGCTGGACTAGATGACCTCCAAGCTCCCTTCCAAGTCTGATGATGGTGCAGAGGCAAACCGCCTCTGAGTATCGGCGGCGGGGGCAGCACTGGGGAAGTTGCAAACAACCACCAAGGACTTTTGCGGGAACTTGCCGCGGCGGGTCGCTGAGGCGGCGGGAAGAACCGCCGTCCCGTCCGCGGTTCGCCCGTCTGCCCGGCCCTCTTTGGTCGGGGAGGCGGCGCCCGGCGCTTCCTGGGGCCGCCCCCACCCCTCCCCGCGGCATTCAGACGGCAAAACCCGCCCCGGCCCGGGCCCGCCCCCCAGTCCCTCCGCCCCGGCCGCCAGCCTCGCTCGCGTGCGCGCTCCCGCCCCTTTCGCAAACTTCCCGGCCAGCCGCGAAGTTCCTCTTTTCCCCGCCGCCGCAGCAGCAGCAGAAGCAGCCGCCGCGCCGTCGTCCAGCGATCCCTCCCCGGCAAGGAGCAGTTGCAGTGCGCGCGGCGCCTCCGCGAACCTCCGTCCCGGGAGCAGCAGCAGCAGCAGCAGCAGCAGCGCCGCCCAGGAGGAGCCCAGCCCGGCCGGAGCCGCCGACGCAAGCGAAGGAAGCCCATCGGGGCCCGGGGGCCGGCGCAGAGTTCCGGCGGGCGGAATGCAGCCCCTCCGGCGGGGACGGAGCCGCCTCCGCCGCTTCCCGGGCTTGCTGCGGCTGCTCCGGCTGCTGCACCTGGCCGTCCTGCCCACCTTGGCTGCAGGTAGGCAGGGCGAGAGCGGCGTCTTCGCGCTCGGTCGGGGCGGATCCCGGGAGGAGCGGAGACGGGGGGAGGGGGTAGGCGGCTGGGGGAGCCTCCCTGGACGGGCGCAGTCTACCTCGCCCACCGCCGCTTTGCTCCGACTGGCCCGGGGGATGCGGGGCAGTTTCAGCCCGCGGTTCTTGCGGGGCGGGGGGGGGGGGGGGGGGGGG